TTTTGATTTTTTAGGGGATTTTTTGGGGATTTTTGGGGGGATTTTTGGGCATCCTGCACCGGCCCCCCGAGGAGCAGCGCCTCTACAAGGTGGGCAACAAGGGGTTAAATCGCTCTGGGGGGGTTTGGGGAATTTTTTGGGATTTTTTGGGATTTTTTTGGGATTTTTTTGGGATTTTTTGGGATTTTTTTGGGGATTTTTTGGGGATTTTTTGGGATTTCCTGGGATTTTTTGGGGGATTTTTTTGGGATTTTTTGGGAATTTTTTTGGGATTTTTGGGGATTTTTTTGGGGATTTTTTGGGGATTTTTTGGGATTTCTTGGGATTTTTTGGGGGATTTTTTGGGGATTTTTTGGGGGATTTTTGGGAATTTTTTGGGATTTTTTTGAAATTTTTTGGGAATTTTTGGGGATTTTTTTGGATTTTTTTTTGATTTTTTAGGGGATTTTTTGGGGATTTTTGGGGGGATTTTTGGGCATCCTGCACCGGCCCCCCGAGGAGCAGCGCCTCTACAAGGTGGGCAACGAGGGGTTAAATCGCTCTGGGGGGGTTTGGGGAATTTTTTGGGATTTTTTGGGATTTTTTTGGGATTTTTTTTGGGATTTTTTGGGATTTTTTGGGAATTTTTTTGGGATTTTTTTGGGATTTTTTTTGGATTTTTTGGGAATTTTTTTGGATTTTTTGGGGATTTTTTGGGGATTTTTTTTGAATTTTTTGGGATTTTTTTGGGCATTTTTTTGGGATTTTTTGGGATTTTTTTGGGATTTTTTTGGGATTTTTTGGGATTTTTTTGGGGATTTTTTGGGGATTTTTTGGGGGATTTTTGGGAATTTTTTGGGATTTTTTGGAAATTTTTTGGGAATTTTTTTGGGATTTTTTTGGGGTTTTTTTGGATTTTTTTGGGGATTTTTTGGGGATTTTTGGGGGGATTTTGGGGCATCCTGCACCGGCCCCCCGAGGAGCAGCGCCTCTACAAGGTGGGCAACAAGGGGTTAAATCAATTTGGGGGGTTTTTGGGAATTTTTGGGAATTTTTTTGGGGATTTTTTTTGGGATTTTTTGGGAATTTTTTTGGGATTTTTTGGGGATTTTTTGGGATTTTTTTGGAATTTTTTTTGGATTTTTTTGGGATTTTTTGGGAATTTTGGGGGGATTTTTTGGGGAATTTTTTTGGGATTTTTTGGAAATTTTTTGGGATTTTTTGGGATTTTTTTGGGATTTTTTTGGGGATTTTTTTGGCATTTTTTGGGGAATTTTTTGGGATTTTTTTGGAATATTTTAAGGACATTTTTGGGGTAATTTCAGGCAGATTTTGGGATTATTTTGAGGTGATTCCAGGCAGATTTTGGGATATTTTTGGGGTAATTCCAGGGATATTTTGGGATGTTTTTGGGGTGATTCCAGGCAGATTTTGGGGTGATTTCTCCCCTTTTTTGCCCCCCTCAGGACGATCAGCTCCTGGAGGACTCCAAGACTTTGGGCGACTGCGGCTTCACGAGCCAAACGGCGCGGCCACAGGCCCCGGCCACCGTGGGGCTGGCGCTGCGCAACGGGGGTGGGGGTCCCCAAAAACGGGCTTGGGACCCCAAAAACGGGCTTGGGACCCCAAAAACGGGGCTGGGGGTCCCCAAAAACGGGCTTGGGACCCCAAAAATGGGCTTGGGGGGGTCTGAAATGGGCTTGGGACCCC